ACCCTTCAAACACAAAGTTCAGCTTCCCTTCTCTTGCGTCATTCACAGCTTTCTTAGAGCAACACACACTTTTTCAAGGATGCTCTAAAGCATCTCTGGCGCACTTGTGCTTGTTACGTGTGCATCAAGGAGCAAGACGCACTTGACAAAGCAAAAATGGCAGTGTGTGCCGATGCACTTTCCCGATTGCAGAGGTCAGGACATGCATATTGTATGGCAACTACAGAGCGCTGAAGTATGCTGTCAAAGCAGAGTAGCAAATCAAAAATCACTATTCAGAGAAATAAAAGCCCCTAGGAGCAACAGCACTTGTAAACAGTCATATTGGCATTACATCTCAACGCCTTGCAGCATGAAAAAGCAGCCGCCGTGAGACAAGTAGCGGCATATTGTCAGTCAAAATGTACGCAAGAAGACCAGTAGCCACGCATCAGAGCTGCTAGACACCACAAAAGAACGAAGGGCTTGAAGTGGCAGCATCTGGATAATTGAAGGTGGGAAACCTCCTTTCTTTTCATGGCTTGGCTGGTTGCTCAAACTGACACCGGCCAACACAACTCATCTGGCTGGAAGAAGCGAACAATCGAAGCTTTTCTTCTTTCAAAGTCACATTGGAAAGTTATTGTCTTTGCAGATCTCTGAAATATCACTTTAAAATAATATTTTTTTGAAACAAAAAGCGCTGTAGCCACGCCACTCCATGCTACTCTCTTTTTCGTTGGTTAGTGCACCCAAAATCTGTGCCATGGCGCATACCTGGTTGCACCGGTTTTTAAATTGTCAAAAAACTCACTGATGAACCGCTTCGACTTCTTGGTTTCTCGAACTGGTTCTTTTACCAATTCCACCAATTTTCAACTGCCGAGCCATAATCTGCGCTTTTAACACAAAATCTTGGCGTTGAGACATACGAAATCAGATTTTGTACTAGAAAACTGGAGCCGCACAACCACTCCGGTTGGACTACCACAAAAGTTTCAATGCTGTTGGTCTACGTTAGAGTCTTAAGATGGTTATTTTGAATGTATCACAGAACTTGCAAATTCAAGGTGTTTCGACACCAAAATGTCGCCAACTTTAAGTTCAGATTCGCTCAATCTGCAACTAAATGTTGTCGACAAAGCCAATAAACTTGTCAAAGCAATGTCTATGGCTCAAACCATAAAAGAATCTTCTTTTCGCAGACTCTCTTTGTGAAACCTTGGACACTTCGATTAACTGTTCAGTTCTATGGCCACATTGCGATGCTAGAAAAGCGTTACTCTGGACAAGCTTGAAACACTTTTCCAAGAGATTCTGGAAAGAAGATGCCTTGAAGTCCGGATGGAATCTTCAATGTTCTCAAACTTCAAGACTCAAAGCGCATTTGAGCGTAGCAGACATGGATCGTCCTGTTTTCCAAGCAAATCTCACTACAGAAATGGAAAAGAACATGTTCCACAGAAAAGTAAGACGGTTTTAAAGGGTTGAGGAAAACCCGAACCCTCCATCTTAGGTTCAGGCATCTTGAAAATGCAGGTGCCTCTTGTTTTGGGCGGCGCTAAAAACGGTTTGAGATGGTGTGACTCGTTCGAGTGTTTTTCTGGGTTGTGCAACGTAATCACCCGGGAAGGAAACCGCAAGAAAAGTCAAGTTGACGAAACTGTTGCAAGCCTACGTGAAATAGAAACCAAGACATTCCAAAGGAACTTTTGGAAACCGATAGGAAACAGACAGGACAACAAACCACAAATCTAAAGTACACAACACAAAAACTGGAGGCAAACTACGAAAGCTGACATTGAAAAAAACCAGAAAATGGTGGAGAAAACTACGTGCTTTGGAGACTCACAGTAAACACCGAAATCGCAACAAAATCCGCGCTTAGAACCGCACATGGCAATGTAGCCGCCTGCCCCGTGCATGGGCACTGAATTCGGTTGCAAAATTTGTGTACTGTGCAGACACTTGAGAGCGTCTCGATAAAGCTGAAATCGCAACAAACTTCCGTCTCCAAAAGAGGTACCAGGGCTGAGTCTCTTTTAGTCAGCCTTCTGATCCTGTAGTTGCCATCGGTGCTTGCAAAAGCTTCTCAAGACTCTATCTTTCACACTATCCAATACTAGGACGGTTTTTGAGCCAGTTTGAGGCGAACAGGGAGGGGGGAAACTGTGGGGCCCTCCTTTCATCTTCTTACAAGGCTTTTGTGCTTCTTCTACGTCGATTTAGAAGTCTCAGCACACCAAGCGCTCGAGTTCGAAGAGTTCTATATTTTTCAAATTGCGACGTGAGAAGAAAAGGTTTTTTGTTGTAAAGTCTTTCCAGTTTTTGTGGATGAACGTTTTTTCTTCCGAGTGGCCACAATGCAAATCGTGTTGTCACCACTATTAGAAGCACAAGCGTGCATAGGTGAACATCATAGCTTGAACGCACTGGACTGTGATGTATCTATTTAGTCAAAAAGGCTTGTTTCCAGTGCATGCTACATTGACATTCTTGTGCAGTCTTTCTGCATGCTTGATGTTGCAGAGCAAGATGCTATTCAAAGTCTGTGATTGCGACACATCTTGTAAGCCCGCTCCTACAACCGAAACAAAGAAACTTGGAGATGCGTAAACTTATGTCGATAGTGTCGAAGCCCGGATTGTTGTTTTTTAAACAGGTTTCGTTGAAATTAGAATTTAAGGCTTGCGGTTGAGTGTGATATTCGTTTGGATATAAATGAACAAAAGAATAAGGGAAGAACTGCGCAATATGTTTCTACAGAAAAAATAATCACACAATTTTGAATTATGAAAATGAACTTTTAGCAAATTATATACATGACATATAATTATATTCATACATAGACGTATGTGCTAATATACATCTGTACATTTGTATGATAGCAAACGGCAAGGGCCGGGTTTGTCATTCACAGCAGACCTGAGTGCTGAAATTTGAAACGAATCGCATCTTCGACGTCTCATGCTTGGGCCCCATGCAATGTCGGCGAAACTTGACTCCGTGGAAATCAAAGTTGGTGCGGCTGAAGGTGTGACACGTGCTCGTGCCAGCAGATTCGTCAAGAAAACAGCAGATATCCCGTGTCCCACAAGGTTCTCAGCGAGTGGCACAAGGCCAGCCGACGACAGTTTGCACATCAGGCTCGTCGGTGCGGCAATGGTGCTTCGTTGCGATGTCACAAGTTGAATGGCTTGCGTGAGGCGCGTGTGGAACGTAAGTTGGCAAGCGCAGAAGGCCGGTAGTGATGCAAACTTGTGTTTCGGAAGTGGGCATGCGGCCAGGGACACCCTCCCGTGTTATTGGCGACGATGTTGGCAGGACCCCTGCCAGGCAAAAAGAGCCGGTAAGATCTATATTGAGGTAGGTTAGATTTAGACATGCACGGGCTGGTTCTGTTTTTTTACAGTCGGGCTTTATTTGTGTTCACATCTCTTCAGTTTCACTTACCTTGACAGCTAGTGATTGCGTGATTTCCGCAGACTGTTGTTTAAGTCTGTCATGTTGTCACGATTTACAGCTTGTATGAGCCAATGCCTGAGCCAAATCCCTTCGCCACCTCTAGGATTTTGGGGGTGTTTGTCCCAGTGCTCTGGTTTAAACAACATGAACTGGTTGTTTCTGATTATCACTATCATTGTTCAGGACGAACAGCTTTTGCCGTGTTGTGGCTGCTGCTGTTGACAGTCAGCTTCGTTCAAAACGCCAGAATGTGGTCTGACAGTTTCGCTTTTGGTGAGAAACTGCGGCACGTTCGCTTTGTCAGGCCGGATGATCGTCACAACAGCTTGCTGGCGGAGGCATTGAAGGCAGCTTGGCAGGTCTATACCAAGCTGTCAGTACCAACTGTCATTGCCGCAAACAGCAGTGAAGGACCCGCCGCGTTCATCACCACGGCTTCCTCCAAGATCTCCTTTGTTGAAAGCAATGGACTCTCCGATCACGTCTTTCTGTCTTGTTTGTCCTTTATTTTCCCAAGCGTTTCGACGTCGCTGAGGGGTTCTGATGTTGCGAGTACCGGCTGGAACCTCACGCCGGCATGTCTCGTTGTCGGCGCTCACGATGGTTGCGATGGTTGTGCACCATCATTTGCTCTGAAACTGCATCCGCCCGGGTCATGGTCCAATGCAGCACCGGAGCACATGAATTCATTCTAGAATCAAGGCACTGGTGCATGCGTTCTTTTTGTGTGCAGAGTGCTGCATGCTGCTCGTTCTGGCCTTCGAGCCTGAAGTGGCCAGGCTCGAATTTGTTCTGTTCTACGGGGTTGTGGAAAGTTTCAAAGTTGGAAACCCTGCTCCCGCTTCAGTGGTTATCGTACTGTGGGTTGCACATCGTCTTGCCGCCACATCTCCCGAAATCGTGCTCTCGGGTGCCGATCCGCGTGTGCGCCTCCAAAGTCCTGCGGTGTGTTTGTGCCTCTCGATGTCGTGGTCCCATCACAATGCCGTGCTCGGACTGCTAGTTGCCCTTTCACTGTGTTGCATGCACGGGTCTTGTCAACAGTGGCCATGTGCCATGAACAAGCAGTCTTGGCCAGGTCCGTGGTACGGTCTCATTCGAGCAAAAGAATGGTTCTCATGCAGCTGGCATCCTGATTGCATGTAGATAGAGGTTGCAGAACGTACAGCTGTACTGAACTGTCGGGTGCGACCACATCAAAGTACTGACTGCATCATTCTGTCCTATGCTTACTTCTTGCGGTTGCCAGGCTCTTCTGCCCATGAGTTTCGCCAGAGCGAAGGCAGGGAGGGTTTCCTGAACTTGGCATGAGGAACGCGCCCGCACGAGCAGGCGAGAGCTACTGCAGCAAGATCGCCACTGCTCAAGGCAAAGCCGCTTCAGTGATGATTCCTTGCGATGGGCTCTTGGCACTTAAACAAGTGCTTCTTGCGGTCGGTGGAATTTTTTGCAGAGAGTAAGACACACACACACACAGACGCACACACACGCACACGCGCGCACACACACACACACATACATTCCAGGCTCGAACACATCGCGGCGGCACAACACCAGTGCAGGCACCGGTCGCTTCGAGATCTGTCGTCCAGAGCACTCCTAGCCTCCATTCTCATAATCCTAGGCTGCGGCGACGTGCACACGAAGACGGGATGTAGCTTCAGAGCCGCGTCCCCAAATTTGTGATGCAGAGCTGCGTACTTTCACGGCTTGCCTGCACCCCGGACGCGATGATCCAACTTATGGCTGTTGTAAAGCATTGAACCAGAGATGCCTAGGATCAGACGAATACTGGCAGCAACATCGCCCGAGGCTGCCACTGTTTCAGACCATTGCATGGTTCGAGCTAAGTCTGCCAAAGGAGAAGCTGCAAGTGGCTGCAAATGCGGCTGAGGAGGAGCAGCCTGCCTGTCTTCAGAGGCAAGAGCTGGTGTCAATGCTGCAGAAAGCTAGGATCCTGTCAGGCCTTGCCAGAAACACGTTCAAGGAATGAACTTTGTAGAATGTGTATGCCCCTGTGATCCAGTGACAAGCGGGGGGTGGCAAAGGCTCAGCAACCAGTTCAAGTATCACTGCGTGTGAGGAGATCCTACAAGCATGGAAAAAGCTTGTGTTGCTGCTTCATCCGGACAAGCCAGCTCCCCAGCTTAATCAGCTTGCAGACACACCTATTTCTGCATCGCCGGCGTGTTCAGAAGCCAAAGCATCGTCATGCTGCAAGCAGTGAGCTCTTAGATCCAGTTTGGTGTTTTCTGGGAAGCATGGCTTAAATTCCGCCGGGGGGGGGGCGGAGCATTTTATGCAGATGTGAGTGCTGGCAGTGCTTTTGACTTCATCGAGTCTTCTCGGCTAACTTCCACAGCCGCATATCCCAAATGAACCCATCAGACTTGCATTATGGGGGAACTCAACGCTCTTAGAAAGCAAACATCCTTTGAACCATGATTCGGGAACGACCGGGACTCGTTTCGTGTGCGTTCTTGAATTCCAGAATCGTCACGATAAGAGACGACAGGTTCTCAAAACGTGTCCAGGATATTCCAAGATTAAGCTTTTGTGCAATCTTGTCGTGTGTACATGACCATGCCATGCCACATCGAACTTGTCATCTCGCATGCCAGCATTGCTGGCTGATTGGTTTGACATCAAGGGTCGTTTTAGCACCGCTGAACACTAGGGTTCGCCACCGCAACACCTCTCGCACTGCTTCTTTACACAGGTCTTCGATTGGCTGCCTCGGATCTGGATGTCACTCTCTGCGGACTGCCTCGTGCTTCCTCCTATCCGCCACTTCAGTTGAGACATGCGCTTGGACGGAGCTTCTCTACACTTCGCAGGTGGCACCTTCCACGTCTCCTAAATGTGGCGAAATCTGTCGCCGTGCACTGTCCCCTTTCCTTGTACTGAGTGCTGAGACTGGCCCGGTTCCTAGTTTGGCAGGGAGACTCCCTGCCTCACTGTCTCTCTGCCTCGCTGCCTCCCTGCCTCCTGCCTGCCTGCCTGCGTGCCTGCCTACCTACGTTTGGGCAGTAATGAAGGCAATAGCAGCAGTAACAGTAGCGGTGTTCTGATTATTAGTAATCCGTGCTGAGATACTCGAAGCCCGGCAACAACCGTGGCAATGTAGAGCACAGCTGTTGGTCAATACCACACAAAGAAATTCAGGTGAGTGAGAGTAGTGCTGATATTCACACACCACAACAGTCCCCTCTCTATCACCATTATGTTAGCTAGTTCGAGGAATAGTCTATCAACATAACACTGTTCATAAACAGCCACTCAAATAACAAGATACGTAGGCAAAATAGAACTCAATAAAAGCATGGATACTCGGATAAAAGAGACAGATACAGATCGATAAATGATTCGGTAGATACACATAGATTAAAACGGAAACTTAAGTAGCTAACAAATTAGCCAACCATGCAGAAAATAACACACATATATATATATATATATATGTAGGCGTATCGGCTGCAAGTCGTGCATGCAGATTGCATTTTTTCTTCGGTCGCAGTTCATCTCGACCACACCGCTCCTCAAGGGAGCCTAGTTTCGTGTCGCAGCCATGTCTTTGCCTAGCACTGATCCAGCAGCGGTGCAGGTTTACGCAGAGGAGTATCAGCGCCTTCGTCAGGTTGACCACGCCTCGGTGCAGCAAGTCTACTGGCAGCATAGGCAGTCGACCAAAAGGGGCCCCCCGACGCCTCTCGGGTGGGAGACATGCCGAGAGGAGGAGAAGCGAGTGGCTCACACCAGACCACACCGCAGGCCA